AAAATGAAAAAAATTACCTTCTATGCAATGCTATCATTTCTCTCTTTGCAATTTGATATGGCGTAAGATCTTCTTCAGCCGTCGAGCTGCTTGTGGGGTCACCAGAAGCAGTACGTTGAGGAGGAGAAGGTGTGAAAGCTGAGTCTGATGACGAAGCAGCGTCTTCACCACTACTATCATCATCATCATCAAATAGCAAATCATCGCTGTCTCCAGCTCCACCATTAACTCGCCAAGGATGTTCATCATCCTTCAAAGAAATTTCAACTTCGCCAAATCAAAATTAAGTAAACAAGAGAAAATAAGCTTATAAAAGAAGCAGAAATGCCAAGTACTTACATCGTTTCCCATTATACCAGCCATAAATCCTACTCGTCCTTCGAGAATATTCTCTATAGTGGCTTGGGTTGATCCGGTAACTCGAAGATCTTCTATAATCGTCTCAACGGGGATTTGCGGAAACATCTCGTTCACCTAAACCCCTCCATCTCGTCACACTCATAATATTGTTAGATATACGGAAAGTAAAATTGGTACCTGATTCGCCATTCCCGTCAACTGTGAATCATCGTGCTGGGTTGGACGTCTCAGAAAAGGGTTAAGAGCAGTTGACCCAGTAGAAAATTCGATGGAGAACGATGGAAGCCGCAAGAATCCAAAACTACAAAAAAAAACAGCATAAAAATGGGAAAACAAAGACCAAGAAGAGCAACGAAACTCACCCCCCGCCAAAACGGAAAGTAGTAGTTGACCCCGGCGATGGAGGAGGTGGCTGGTTCATTGGCGGTGGTGCAGACACGGCTCGGCGACAAGTTGGACAAGATCCATCCTGCGCCAACCACCACATCAAGCACCAGTCATGGAACTGATGACCACAAGGGAGACGACGAGACAGCCCAAGTTTCTCCCAGCACACTAAAGTAACTAGTTTGAAGAAGGAAAAGCTGCAGTACGCAAAGAAACAAGTGCAATAGATAGTAAAAAGCAAACGATACGCCGCAGTGCAACAAAAGACAAATTGTCAAAGTTTTGTTATCAACGTTAAAAAAAATTTGAGAAAAGAAAGTAAATAGATCAATAAGTGTACGATGAAATAATCGAAATTGGAAAGAGAAGAAAAAATGAAGAAAAAAAATTTGCAAGAAAGTCACTCAAAGATCAGTAACTGCATTCAACAGCCAAGCTGACATCAACGAAAAGCTCAAGGGCAGTGTATCGGCAAAATTCACCTTTTCGGATTCTTATCGCCATGAGGAGTCCATATCTGGGCTTTTCAACGCATGAAAATATCAAAAATGAGCTTTTTCCGAGGCTTTTCAAGTCCGCAGTCATTGAGAATACGCCGGTGGTCTCTCACGCCCCGCCTCCCCTGTTCCGGGCCCCGTCCACTTACACGTATTTTCCGCTGAATGCAGACCTGGAAAGCTTCGAAAAAAGCTTATTTTCGCCATTTTCATGCGCT